GGAGCTTCGCACTATTTGAACCCCCAGATTTCACTTCCCGTCTCGTTCATTGAGAACCAGATGTATCCGGCCTGCTTGAGGGTTTTCCGTGCCTTGGCTGGCTGTGACTTTAGAACTTTCGCTTGAAGTGTGGCTTGTGAAGTTCCCAAATACTTTGATCTGAGGGGACCTCAATCTGGCCAAGACCCCTGCGCCCCGCATTTTTGAAGCCGCTGTCAGGCCCTGAGAGGAGTTTAAATGCGTGCAGTTATAGCTTCTTCATGAACAATTTGAGAGCAGTTTCCGACCCTTGTTTCAGGTTCTGCTTGCCAAGAACGATGCCATGCCCCCGAATGGTTCCACCTGCGTGGCATCACTTTTGAAAAGAGCAACCTCCCGGATCCGTGCCTTGCGGGGCCGGACAGAGTTTCTTTGGCCGCAGCTAAGCAGTTGCTTGCTTGCTCCCGCGTTCTATGTCCATGGTTGGTCCCAACTCAGGGGAGCACATTCTGTGAAGATTGAGCGCCTCAAGACCTTGTTCCTTGGCTGAGTTTCCTTTAGAAATCAGTCACGCAATTGGGATTGAAGTGGACTGGTTGAGGATTCTTCTGAAGGATGAGGTGGCCCTGCCCTCTGAACCTGAAGTGCCTGATGTGCGGCAGAGATTGGACAGCTTGCTCCATGAGCCAAGTGCTCAGCTTTTCCAAAAAACGAAAGGGGGTGATCATTACAGTGCCAGTTTCTGCGTTTAAGGGAAGGAACACTGCCTGCTGAACCTGATGAATCTGCTGAGCCTGATGGGCCTCAGCCAGCTGATGAGCCTGATGCTTTAGACCGACTGCAGGCCAGGGAGTCCTTGCTTTAAACCTTGCACGCGCTGGCCCTTATAGGTGGCCAAACGCAAATATGAGGAGACCTGCAAGGCCATCTTTGGGGTGGCAACTTGAACTTCATAAGGCTAGCCCACACTGAAAGGTTTGGTTTTTGACAAACAAAACCTTTCAACCCGGGCTCACAATCAAGTGAAAAGTTGGATTGTGGCTTAATCCAACTTTTCACTTCAGCATAAATTGAAAATCCAAATTAGTGAGAAATTTGGATTTTCAATTTGCTTCAGCCGTCGAGGCGCAGGGTCAGCCAGTCAAGCATCTAAGGAACCAATCCCCATTGAGGAAGAGGATGAGGTTGAGGGGCTTGTGGACTCGGACAGGATTTTTGTGGACCCTTCCCTCCAGGACTGTGTTTCCCCTTCTCAATGTACACTGGTCAAAACTGCCACGCGCAGGACGCGCAAAAAGGTCCTGCTCACCCTGCACCTCCCCGGCGTGATTCAGAGGCTGTTGAGCCCACGACAAAGAAGCCAAAGGCAAAGGCTAAGGCTGCCGCCAAGGCAACTGACCCTGAGGAAATTGCCGCCCAGACCAGGAAAGTTTTTGCAAGGCGCCCCAGGCCCAAAACCGAAAAGGCGCAGCTCACGTTCGATATCATAGCGCAAGTTTGGAACACGCACCTGGGAATGAAACAAGAAGCTAGCATGCGCTTGTGTAAGCTTTTCTTTCAAGCGGGGAACCTGCAAGTAAGGCACATCGCCCCGCCCTTGAACTTCCAGAACAACATGAAGAGCCAGTACGCTTGGTGGGCTGTGGCCCATAGCCGTGTGGGTAACTCGGAGAAGGAACGCAGCTGGAAGGTTTCGACCCTGGAGAAAATGGTGCCCAAGTTCTTGAAGGAGTTTGACCCGAATGTTGAAAAGCCAAAATAGGCTTTCAGTACAGCCTGGACAGCCAGGGGACCTGAGGGGAAAGGTGCTTGGGAGTTTTGATTGACACACTTACGGGCAATGAAAACATGAGTCATGAGCCTGAAAATTTCTTCCCGAGACACCAGCCCTAATTATAGAGGGTCCGTTCCTCCACGCTTTTGCCACGCCGCGCAGAAAATCAATTGCTGCACCAATCTCAACTGCAATATCAGGGCTAGTGTCCTTGACCAATTTGATTTGCGTTCGCCATTGGCTACTTTCCACTTGCCAGGTACTCGTGGCGATGCAGAACCCTCAGGTGCCTCAGCCCGCCCCCTCCTTCGCTTGCTGCGTGCTGCAGCTGACTGACATGTAAAGGAGAAACTGACACAGGCCAAAATCACACTTATCTACATGATGAGTTTGGGACAGTTTGGATGTCAATCTTTTAGTGCTGGAGCTGTGTCATTTCCTCCTAGCCTGCACGCTGATCTTTGAAACCTGTGAGACCTGCAGATTTGGCTAAATTAGCTTTGGGGAGAGCTTGCATTGCAATTATGGGATTTCGCACGCTATGTTTCCTTTGCCTGCCTTCGCCTTAGTGCGCTTATAGGGAAACTTGCAAATCCCAAATGTATCTGAAACTGCGCCATATGTTTGGGCCCAGGCTGCTGCAAGCAGCAGCCTCGGAGAACCTAGTTCAGTCCCTCATCCAGGGGGGGGTGCCCAAGATTGCCATTTTGGCTATCTTGTTACTGTGGCGTCCTTAACTGCGCACTGATGGATTTCCAGTTGTCCAATTGATTTTGTGCCCGCCAGGATCTGGAACTCGGATATACCAGTGGCCCCTCGCTATGACGCCTGCGATTTTTTTTCCGGGCGTGGCGCAGTTAAGGACATCACATGCACAGGGTACCCAAGGTGAAGGTCGCTAGGGTTGAGTCTTTGCAGGACGCGCTGGCCGCCTCTGCCTTCAGGGTGTGCGGCCATGATATAGAGATTCACCGGTCAATGGACTTGACCAAAGCGTGCGGCCTGGCGCCCCTGACTCAGTGAAACATTTGCGTTGAGCGCCCGAACCCAAACTGGCTTCTTAGGTTGATGCTGTGGTGCCTGATCTGCTTGGACCCGGCTGGACCCCGGCTGGGGCCCTACAAATAGCGATGGGCTTTCAGTTGGCTGCAACAGCTCAGGTTCGTGATGCTAGCGCCAGTTTGCTCATCATGGATTTGGCTCTCAAGATCAAGCACTGGTAGGCGTTGGGGCCCTGTGTTTGATCGAATCATTGGAAACAAAGGTCCTGTGTAATGCAACTATGCTGAGGGCCTGATCGTGTCCTGGGCTTTGAAGACAACTTCACAATCCAAGCAGCTAACTTGTTGACAAGCCGGACTGCCCTTCCTGCACTTAGCTTCGGGTTGCGTTTTGCAAAGGCCCCAACGGCTCACAGCCTGCCCCACCGCGCGTGCTCGCCAGGAGCATGCTGGCCCTTCGCGTCGTGGAATGGTGGAGGGGCAGCTACATTCTAGAACAGCCATCATCAAGTCTTATGTTTGCCCACCCGCGTGCTCCCAATAATTCATACCGAGTCAACACATTCCTGGGCGCCTACATGCACTGGACCCCCAAGCTCTCATCGTTTTGGTCGAAGTTTCCCATGTGACACTGGCTGAGTTCACTGCAGAGAATTCTCAGGTACTGGGTTGGGGGCCTCTACAAGAAGTTCACAAAGGAAAAAAAAGACCGTATGAAGGAATTGAGGGAAGAGCTGCAGAAATCTGCCCCAACCAAGCGAAATGCGAATGGGCATGTTTGTGGAACAGCATCCCTGCGAAGCACACAGCACCTAGCCTGCTTTTATCAGTTCCTTGATGCCTTGCTGAACATTTGACTGCTCTTTCTGACCAATTGAGGGAATATCCCAAACAGCTGGGCCACGCCATCAATGACTTGGTGCGTAACTTCTCCAACTGCGAGCCTGCTCCTGTCAACCACCTGCGGCCCCTTCACCCGTTTGACAAGCACTCGGGGTGCCCCGCAATATCCGATGTGTTTGGCTGCCGTGTGTAAGTTTTGCCAGGTACCAGCACTTCTATGACAGCAATGGTCGGCTTGATCTTGGAGATACTTGGGATGATGCACTGGCCTCAAGTGCCATCACTATTGGTAATTCAATTGCTCGCTTGCGGCAGGCTGATGTGTGGAGCACTATCGCGTATCTGGTTCGCTCCCGCAAGCTGCATGTGCCCAAAGGGGGCTGGCAAAAGTTGCTCGCCGATATGGGGTTTGAGCCACGGAGCTAAAACGCATTGCGCGTGGCAATAGGGTAAAAATGCTTGATTCTTCGTTTGCTGCGCCAGCGACAGTGTCAGTTGTGTGTTCCACGCACTGCCTTTGAGCAAGTAGTCAGGTGTAAAGGGAGGCCAGGAGTAACATGGTACCGTATGGTTTTGTTTGGTTTTGTACGGCTGTTGTACGGTTTTGTACGGTTTTTGTATGGTTTTGTACGGTTTCTGTACGGTTTTGTACGGTTTTTGTATGGTTTTTGTATGGTTTTGTACGTGTTTTTATATGGTGGTGTACGGTTTTTGTACGGTTTTTGTACGGGTTCTTTTTGGGTCTTGTACGCTTGTGTACGTTGTTTGTACGGTTCTGTGCTTGTTTTGTACGGTTTTGGTTCTGTGCTTGCTTTGTACGGTTTTGTACGGTTTTGTACGGGTTTTGTACGGTTCTTGTACGGTTTCACTCTGGACACCCTGAGTTCCCACATGTGGCTTTTTGCAGCGCTGTGGTTGGTTTTAGACTTGTGTTCTGGTTTTGCTTGTCTGTTGGGAAGGACACGTGTGTTTTGTGACATTCCTGTTGCATATGTTTGGCAGGGCTGCCCAGCTGTTGCACTAAAGCTGCTTGCAAGTGAAGGTTGAACAGGGTATGCTTGTTTGCTGACACAGACTGTGCATGGCCGATTGGCCCCTTCAGGTGAATGCGCTACCCTTCCGCACCACGGCTGTTCATTCACGTTCGCGAATTTAACTCAACATCAGGAAGGTAAGCTTCAAACAGCGCATAGTTCTGGGTAAGTTGAGTTTGAGCTTGGTGGCCTCAAATTTGTAACACCCGGTAGCCAAAAATCCTACCCGTACAAAACCCGTACACAAACCGTACACGAATACTAAATCCTTTACTTAAGGGCCGTACACTACCCGTACAAAACCGTACATGGGGAATCTCTCGAAAATCAAGAGCCGCTTTCCTGAACCTGAGCGTCATGGCTCTAGAGTCTCAGCTTAGTTTGGCCACGTTCTTTTCGGGTTGCGACCACTTAGACAGGACGCTTGAAATGGACGCGTTCCTGGTGGCAAAGAATGAGTTGCGTGAGGCTTGGCCTAGCGGTTGGATTCGTTTGTGTTGGGCCCCAAGCCTTGCGGCCACAATGATTTGCAGGCGCAAGCGAATGTTCGCTCCAAGCAATCAGTCCAGGACGATGAACACCCTTCAAACCACGTTGTTTTTTTTTCGCTGGCAGGACATCCTTGATTCCCAAGAGGAACTTGATTGGGCCCGGCAACCTGATGCACAAGGCTACACCCGTCACACTTGCAAGCTTCTGTGGCCTTGAATTAATTGTGAAGGAGCCAGCGATGAAGCTGCCACGCAAATATATATGGCAGCGACCCAGCCTGACCCCGCAGAGCTTGAGGACAAGGGAGTGTTCTGTGATTGAAAGCAAAGCCCTTTGGAAAGCTAAGGGTCCCACACACATTATCCAAACAGGGGAAACACAGCTCAATGTTTATCTGTTTGCTGAATTAGAATAATGCCAGAATCCTAGGGTTTGAAATTGAAAGGTTGACTTCGGCAATGTAGCAGTCAACCTTTCAATTTGCGGTCCGGTTGAAAAGTTGGGGCCTCAGCGCTCAACTTTTCAAGTGTCAAAATTGAGTGATTGAACGGCTGAACTCAATCACTCAATTACACATCGGAAGAAATTGAAAGGTTGAATTCATGTATCTCTGTAATTCAACCTTTCAATTTACACAGCCCGGGAATTTAAAACATAAACCGCTGTTTTGGGGCTTGGCCGCTCCTAGGAGGAAGTTGACCGCGAACTTGAGCAGCTTGAGTTGGAAGAACAAATACAACAAGAAGAACAGGACGCTCAGCGCAGAGAAGCGCAGCAGCAGAAGCAGCAGCAGCAGGCAGCGCGACAGGAGCAGGAAGTGCAGCAGCAGCAGCAGCAGCAGCAAGCAGATGCTCAAGCGCAACACAGCAACCCTACAGTGCCAGGCAAGCGCAGCGCTTGCAAAACTGCTTCCAAGCCAAAGCCTGCATCAAACCAAAAGCAGAGCCGAAGAGAAAGCCCACAACGGAAAGCGATGAAGATGAAATGCACCGCTTGGAACAGGAAAATGAACAACTGCTGCAACAGATCAAAGCCGAAGAGGACCGCCGTCACAAGAAACAACAGCTGCTAGAACAAAACACGGCCCTGCAAAAGAAACTGGAGGCGCTCAGGGCGGTTAACACAGCAGGCGCTTCAGCCTCGGGACTGCCGCAAGCCCCACAGCCACCGCTGCAGAGATCACAGGCAAAGCCGCTTGCACCTCCAGCGCCACCGGCGCCACCTGCGCCACCTGCGCCACCTGCGCCACCTGTGCAGCCTGCCGCGCAGGCAGAAGCCCCTAGCGCGTCCCTGGCGCAAACCACGCCGACGATGCAGAGCACTGTCTCTGCAACCCCGCCAGCCACCACGGCCCCGGCAGCTGCCGCTGCAGTCACTGCGCCGAGCCCGGCCACTTCCACGCCCACGCCCACTTCAGCTCCCTCGGCCGGGGATGAGGACACGGCTCACGTTCGCAGACTAACGTCGCAGCATGTGCATAATTGACAGGAGCGCGGCACCACTGCAGCCCTCCAGTCGCTGCGCAGGGCATGCTCCAACCCAGCTCGTGCGTCGTTTGAGATGATGCGCGCTTTCCACTCCAAGGGCCAGAAGCGGAAAGAACTCTTGATGAAATGGATCAGCTCAGGCCAAGACATTTGCAAATGCACCGTTGAGATCGTCAAGTCCGAGACCCACGAGGAGTCAGGAACTTAAATCAGCTTCAATCCGCACCCCTTGGCCGCTCATCCCTCGCCCAGGAAGTCTGAGATTCTCACCGGCTGGCTGACTGACGAGCAGGTTTTGTCGCATTATTGCGGCAATGCTGCCAAAGCCGACCAAGCCAAGAAGGAAGCGCATGCTGCTGGGCGCCTCTCAGCTCAATTGCGAGGACAGCAACGATGTGTCATTCCGGCTCGGCCCTTGATCTTCAGGTGTGCAATCCGATCCCAATGTCAGCGGGTACTTTGTGTACCGTCTTGTCACTGCCATGAGTGACACTGACAGCCACCGGAAGTCCGACACCACGACGCTCAAGGTTGTTCCTCTCTGTGATGACACGCGGCCTGAAGCCCGTGCGCTGTTTTCGGAGCTGTTCCCTGCCTGCATTAACTGTGCGACCAGCCGCGGCGCCCTTGCCCCGCACTTAGGCGGACCGGCAAGGAGGAGACGCTGGCCATTGAGGACCGCCGTGCGGAGGCCAAGAAGCCTGCCAAGAAGAAGGACCAAGGCGTTTCTCATCATTGTGGTTCTTCTCACGCACGTGTCCGCCAGGCCCTGTCAAGGCTGGTAAGAAGACCAAGAAAAGTTCCCAGGGCGGCAATCCGCCAGCCATCTGGGACTTGGCCCGAGTGCGTCCCGCCGACGTAAAGTCTGGAGCTGCCATTCCTGTAGTTGACAGGGGTGAGACACGGCGGCTTTGCCAGCAGCACGTGCTCTCCAAGGCCATCCTGTTCGCAGTTTGGGTCATGTCGCATTTTTTCCTTGCCAGGCCGCGTCGTACGGCAAGCTGACGGTTCGCGTGAAAGACCACCAGGAGACAAAAGACTCCTTGAAGTCGCTGTCTGAAGCGAAAGAGGTCTTGGAAAATGCTTGGAAGGCACGCTTGTGCGCTCCTATGAGCCTCATTGATTGTCCCAGCCAGCGCAGGCCGTGGCAGGCATGCAGGATGATGCTCCCGAAGAGACATGGGGAAACAATCTGAAGGCTTGCTTCCCTCAGCATATTGAGTTTCCATCCATCCTGTCTCGAGGCGCTGGGCCAAGCTTACTTGCATTTTTGCGACAAAGAGGCGTGCGCCTCAGCCAGGTTTTGGCCCTAACAGCACTTTGGCTGGTGAAGCAGTGAAACATTGCCCGGCCAGGACTTTGTGACTGGCTGCGCGCGTGTGCTTGAGAGCCGTAGCCGGCTCGGCTGAGTGGCTAGGGAAACTGCTGGGAATGCTTGCCCTGCAAGCTGAGTTTTGCAGTCGGGGGTGGCCACACTGGCTTTTGCAATCGTTGCGCAATCGATCTGTGAATCACACCTAGCCACAGCAAGGTGAAAACAGAATCTGCGCTACTGCTGCGTGAAGAGTTTGTATTTGTTTTGTTACAACTCAATTACAACTCAACTTGATGGAGGTGAGGGGTAGGGTGGCCTTGCGCGCAGGCGCTGGTCTAGGACATTGCGGACACGGTTCTGCTGGCGGGCTCACTGCCCAGACGCGCAGCGCAATTACTGGTCCCCATTTTCTTTGCTGATTGTAGCGATTGTTTTTCCACCTTCAGCCAATCAAGGAGTAAAGGCTTGAAACGGGGGACGGCCGCACTCTTGAACACGGCCAAGAAGCAAAAAGTATGCGAGAAAGAATTGCCCGCCATTCCCGAGAAGTACAGCCACATCGACCACATGCTGAAAACCCCGATGGCAGTGCAGTTGATGAAGGGTATCCAAAAGAAGAACTGTGATATTTCATTTCTGTCAAAGGTCGCTGATGCTGCCACGGAAGAGGGGTCCGCGTGTTTTCAGACCCGCCTGTTGGCCCGCACAACCGAGTCCAAGCTTCATACCCGACTGAAGAACGATTTGCCTGAAATCACCATTTATGAGCTACCTGTTCAATTTCGGGGCAAAGTCGTTTACAGGAAGGTGAGTAGCTTGTCTGGGTGTCAGCAAACCAGCTTTGGGGGGGGGCAGCTATTTGCGTTGGGGTTGGTTGCAAACTGAAAGGCTGACTTCAGGTATGATTTTGCCTTCTTCCTACATCCGATGGCTTTCGGGCCACCCCAACCTCCTGAAGTGGTTTGCGTATGGGACCACTGAAGCCCATGACAGACGCCAGCCTATGCCCCAGCTGCCTGCGCTGAAGTACCAGTTTGTTGGAACAGCTCAAAACCAGTCCTGCAAATCACACACCTGCAATTTGCTCTTGGGCTGTTGCAGTGAGTTTCCGTTCGCAGTCAATCCCCTTTAAGGGCTTTCGTTCGCGGCCGAACCCCCCTAAGGTATGTAGAAGCTATGCGCGCCAATGCCCGGCTGGAGGGAACCTTTGATGGAGGCTCATTTGATGTGTCAAGCCTATCAGTGACCAAACTCTGGCCAGGCGAAGCTGACTTTCTGATGCGGCTTCATGGGGATGAAGGCCCTTTCTTTCGGGGTCACAACCTCATGGTTCTCAACATATCAACGCCGTTCTGCACTGGAGACCCTTTGGCGCAACATTTGCAAAATGACAATTCAGCGCATTAGTTGCCAAGCCTAGGACTCACTGAAGAGCCGCCTCGCCATTTGTCACTTGGGCCATCTGTAGCCTGATAATTGTTGTTTGTCCTGGTGTCAATTGCTCACCTGCGTGCCTAGGCTGCATTCCTGGAGCTCGCCTGATTTCCCGAAAAGTCCAGAAAAAACACCAATGCCCGACCACAATCGATGCAATAATGGAAATCCTCAAGAATGACATTGCGTCCCTGCCCTTTGACTCAAACTGCAACATGCAATTGGGCCAGATAGATGCTTTTGAGCCCAGGAGGTTCAACGTTGATGGCCATGATGCTCGAGTTGTTTACTTTGGGCTTGGGGGAGACCTAAAGTGGTTCCAGCAGGTCTTTCATTAGCGGGGCTCTTAGTCTTGGGTTTTCTGGGCACTGTCCTCGATATCACTCGCGCTGTACGCTGAGTCCCCGCCAATGGAAGGGAAATGGAGCACGGCTTGGCAACAGGCCGCGTGCTTCAGTCACACTGCAAAATCGCACATTGATTTTCCACGCAAAATCAATGTGTGATTTGAACAACGTTGCAAACATTTGAGGATGTGCCACATTTGCAAGTTGCTTACCTGCAATACTTCAGTGGTGGGGCCCCTTAAAGCGCAAGTCAAGCTTGAAGGGAAACATTAATGGCTGAGGTTGGCTAGCGTCAAAGACCCGCAAGATGGTCGCCAATTTCTGGCCCCCGGCTCCAGCCACTACATGAATGTCTGGGATGACTCTGCCTGGCTTCAAAGCGAAGAGAATTTGGCTGAGCCTAAGCTAGTTTTACCTGACTTGTCCTTGCCCCTTTGCGCTGCGGGTGGCTCAGGAGTTCATCCAAGCCTTCCGCGACAGCAAGCGCCCGCTTTCCCCACTGGCAACATTGAATGGCTTCCACCCTCGGTTGACATGGGATGACACATTGCACGTTGTGTTTCGGGGCTTTGGCCCAGATTTTCTAGCTGGTGCATTAACTGACCTGTTTGGCACTGAATTGGACATGGCCTTCGACCTGGCCAAGATGTGGGTTCAACAGCAAGGACTTTGGCTTGATTGCAAAGAGCTTGTGATATCCGATGCTGCCTACGGGTCCCTCAATGTCAAGGGGCACGACTGCAAAGTTCTCTTGCTGTGGATGGCTCCCTGAAAAAAACTAACGCATCAATGGTTCAAAGTCCTTACTTGCTGTTCCTTATTTTTTAGCTGAGGCTGATATTATGAGATATTTCCGGAAACCAGCAGACCATGACTACGCGAAGGTTCTGCGCGTGATTCTTGTGCGCATCGTGATTCCCAAGTTTGCCACACAGTGTGCAGTTTTGGGGGGCCTAAGGACCGCAAAAGATTTAGCGAAAACAATTGAAATCATGGAGAAGAATTCGGTGTACATCCTGCCCCCTTTGGAGCAGGAGAAGGGCCAAGTGTCAACCAGAAGGTTCCTGAAGGGCTACCTGTGGCTAGCAGCAGATTGCTTTCAGCGATCTGTGCGAAGATTCAAGCTTCGTCCGAAGCTACCCGGCGTGTTTTTGTTGAAGGGGTTTGCCTGTTGAAAACCTGCCAGTTAAGGTTGCACACGTACTGGCACATGTGGCACAACGCCATGGGCAATCCGAAGCTGCAAAGCTGCTTCAATGACGAGGACATGGTGAGAAGGCTATGTTCAATCGCCACTCGCCCAATTAACTTGTTAGCTTGGTTGCCTTCAGTGCGCCGGTGCCATCTAAGGCATCCGGCACTCACGCTGGAAACACTGAGAGAACCGCCATTAGGCGGTACATAGCCACGGCAGCTATGGAGTGGCTTGCGGAAAACAAAATCATAATGAAATCAATGAGGCAGTATGAGTTTACATATATACTTATATTCGGATTTACATAGTTGAGATGATGAAAGGTATGGCTTGCCAAACGCGCTTTTCGCATGATACATTTAACAAGAAAATGCCGAAATATGCACCTTTTGCTTGGCGGAAAAAGTAGTATTGGACATGTTTTTTTGGAGAAAGAAGTCTTATTCTTGTTTTTTGCAAAAGGCGCAAAAAAAAGATGCATTATGTATCTCCAGGAAAGGGAAAGGCTCGATCGAGAGGCTCGAGAGGCTCGAAAGGCTCGAAAGGCCCGATCGAGAGGCTCGAGAGGCTCGAAAGGCTCGATCGAGAGGCTTGAGACCGTAGACCATTTTATCGCCCGTAGACCATTTTATTGCCGTTTTATCAAGCCAAGGCAGCCCGTAGACCATTTTATCAAGCCCGTAGACCATTTTATCGCCCCCACCAATGGCCGTTTTATTAAGCCAATGGCCGTTTTATCAAGCGAAGGCAGCCCGTAGACCATTTTATCGCCCGTAGACCATTTTATCGCCGTTTTATCAAGCCAAGACCATTTTATCGCCCGTAGACCATTTTATCAGCCGTAGACCATTTTATCGCCGTTTTATCAAGCCAAGGCAGCCCTCGTAGACCATTTTATCAAGCCCGTAGACCATTTTATCATAAAAAAGCTCGACCTTTTCGGATTACAGTGTTGGGATTCCCCTATATAGAAAAACTTTCGAAGCTTTGAGGTCTCCGCTACTCGCTCTCGACATTTGGCTAGGGCGCCACCACACTGTGTTGGCGGACCCTAAACCCTAAACCCTAAACCCTAAACCCTAAACCCTAAACCCTAAACCCTAAACCCTAAACCCTAAACCCTAAACCCTAAACCCTAAACCCTAAACCCTAAACCCTAAACCCTAAACCCTAAACCCTAAACCCTAAACCCTAAACCCTAAACCCTAAACCCTAAACCCTAAACCCTAAACCCTAAACCCTAAACCCTAAACCCTAAACCCTAAACCCTAAACCCTAAATGCGGAAATCCCAAACCACCTGAACAGGTTCAGCGATTTCCTTGTCGAGACCCAAAATACAAAAGGTCTCCGCCCGGCTGAATGCACAATCTGCAACGATCTGTTCAAACTCCAAGCGCAAATATCAAGATATGTTCCAACCACAAACTGCAATCTATATCAAGATATCGCCGTCCGAACGCGATCAGCTGCGAACCATTTCGCGCACTCGATGCACAGGCTTGAGCCAATCCGGTTGGGTGATACATCTGATGTCTCAGGTTGCTGCACAATCCTGAGACCTCACAACCACGGAAAACAAATGTACATGTCCGTGACCTATTCTGAAACCAAGCTATGCAAGGGCCTAACACACGAAACGAAGTGTCGTGGGATGCACTTGCGTTGCAAAGCGTCTGAAATAAGGGCCACTGCACAGTCTCCTTATCCACAAGCATCGTGGATGCACCACGATCCTAAAAGCTTTTGGCATCTGAAGGAAATGCCCCAACAGGGCATTGGGTTGCACATGCAAGTCACTGCACCACAAGGAAAGTGAACTTAACTAATTTAGTTGACTATTGTCAAATGTCTATTCACACCCCCCCATGCCTAAAGCTCCTAAGGTCCAAAAACCTTCACCCAAACAAAGGCTGGCTGCCTATCGCACTCTCACTCCTCCGCCAATGCCTCCAAAGCTGGCTCAGCTTCAGGGTTCACGCCATCTGCTTCCTCCTCCGGTTCAACCACCTCCAGCTGGTTCTCATCTGCCGGGAAAGGCTCTGCCGGAATCTCCCTAGGCGCAGGCACCCGTGGCTGCGCTGCTGGCGCCCTCAAGAATGCAAATTCTTTCCTGCACCAACTGCACACCGT